CAGAAAGGTGCATTAAACACTATTTTTCGACGTAGTAGCCTTCAACCTCAACACACTTTGTGAGCCGAGGGATGATATTTCAGATACCTTCGCTATAAAAATTTCTCATCGACTCTCGGGCCTATTGTTTTACGGCACTGTGGACCTCATCGTCAGTAGAAAACATTTTTCCACCCATAAACACCTTGAAATAAGAGAAAAGATGAAAATCAGAAGGTGTCAGGTCTTGGCTGTGAGCTGAGTGGTTGATGATTTTCCAACCTAATGAATCAAATACTTGCTTTGTGGTGGTTTGGTACCCACCTCGCATATAATTTTCGATAACAAAGTGTTTCAGAAATGATTTCATACAGACGAGATCTAGAGATTTGTGGAAACACTACGTGTGCCAATTGACGGTTGCCACGAAGCCTTTTTTCGATTTTGTTCACCATCCCATCAGTCACAATTGAGGGCCCATCACTTCTTTGTTCTTCGTAAACGTCTGCCAGCTTTATACTCACGATTCCACTTGTACACATTAGTAGGATTTGTCACACCATCCCCATAAACAGTTTTGATTTCGTTAAAAATTTGAAGCGGAATGGCGGCACTTATTTCAACATACCACTACAACAACAGTTCACAACTGAATGAGACAAATGAGCGTGTTCTCCTCCCAACACCTTGGTCTAAAATGCAGTGGTACCAACTTTGTTGAAAACAAAAACCACAGAGCATCTGATTCTCATTCCTACTTGTGGATATGCCTCGTACATATCATATTATATCTTTTGAAGGGGAAGAGATGTCTAAAAACTTTTTTTACATCTGTTGTTGAGAGAAATGAGAACTTTTGTGTAAAATGATGTAAAATATGCATGAAACTGGAAAAAATAATTTTGATAACATCACAAACCTTAGGGTGGCAATTTTACCAGGATAGAATTTTAAGTCAAATCACAAGATCCCAATATACGATTTCCTATTTTCTCTTTCGGTTTTCCTTTAATGACGATCAATCATCAGTTTTGGGTTACCCTGTTCCCAATTTAGATTTTACATAATTTGTTTTTTATGAGATAACTCAAAAGCTATTTTAAGACTGAATTTAAACGCCCTGTATCTTATATAAATAAGTAAACTTTTAAGTACCGATACTTGTAAGAAAGTTTAACAGGTCAAAAATGGGGGACCAAAGACAGGAGATGCGATATTAAAATTTCATAAAATACCAACATTATTTAAAAAATAATTTTGTATTAATGACTGTAAATTGAATTGGTCAATGTGGTGGTGATCCGAAAAAATAATACACTGTATGTAATTTTCATAAAATAGACAGACGAGTACCAAATAATAAGTATCTGGCTAAATGAGCTTATTTTGATCTCAGAAGTCTGTGGTAGAGCGTTGTCGAAACCGTACTGAGTTTTCTATTTGATAACAGGAACAAGAATATGATTTTTATGCATTACTCTTGAAACGCAATATGTATCTAACATACGGTATTTTTATGGAGATCAAAAAGTGTAGTGAATGTAAGTGAATAATTTAAAAAATAAATTCTACCAAATTAAAAAAAAATAAAGAAAAATAAACAAATAACAAGCTCAACGAAAAAGCTAAATAGTACACGACCAGTGTTGCGCGTTATCTACATATGTAGATTATTTTATACAGATTTGTGCCGTACAGAGATTAAGTATGGAACACAGCTTAATTCTAAGATTGAAATATGGTGATGGAGCTAGACATGCCTTAATCAAATGTTGTTCCTGCTTAATCCATCTACTCTACAGTGTAAGTTAAAGAAAAACAACCGATTTTTGTCAATATTTCGAAAATATGTAATATTATTTTTGAAGTTATCAGAAGAGACACTAGTTAGATTACTACTATACAGGGTTATCCAAAAGCCCCGGTACGACAGAAAAACTTTCGAAGAAAGCATTTTAGTAAATAATGTTTCAGACAAAAGTGTAAGGGTTTTTCCCTGGCTATCTGCTGGTGACCTAGGATTAGACCTTAACTTTGACCTTCAATGTCATTTGAAGGTCAAGTTAAGTTTTTTAAATGGGAACCCCTATTTTTTATTGCGAATTTCGAAAGGGCAAGGTCATTGTCAAAGTCATGGTCAAGACCATATTTTGATGCAAAATTTCCTGCTCTTTCAAATGACCTTGAAGGTCAAAGTCAAGGTTTAATCCAAGGTCGCCATCAGATAACCAGGGAAAAATGTTTACATTTCTGTCTGAAACATTTTTCCCAAAATGCTTTCTTCGAAAGTTTTTCTGCCGTATCGGGACTTTTGGATAATCCTGTATGTATTGGTGCTGTAAATATGACCTAAACTTTTTTGTTATTGACGTATCAACAAATTGAACAAAAAATAATTAAACCTTTTTAATTTCAAGTAAGAAATGAGTTATTAATAAGTGCAACTTAAAAAAACTCGATTTTATATCTCACTGCACTAATATATGATGAAAATTTATTAAAGAATATGCAGCTTTATTATTAGATAAAAGTAATAATCATACAGGGTGATCCATTAACGGCATCGAGCGGCTGTATATATGAAACTAGACGTGCTACGATTATGGCGTAAAAAATATATTAACAAATACGACCAAAAGAAATTGATTTAAAATATTTTCAAGTTTGTAACTTCGCCGCTAGAGGGCGCAACTGCTATAGTGTTACAGAAAATCGTCGGTTTTTCTAAATTTCGTTTATATAACCTAAGTTGAAAATACATTTTTTAGATACACTGTTAAACCCTTCACAAGTTTTGTTTGAACTTTTTTTTTTTTGTTTTTATCATAGCAACGTCAGTATGAAGGACGCTATCTTGAAATTTTTAAATTGTCATAACTTCTAAATGCCTTAATCGATTTCAATAAACGATGGCTCATTTTAAAGAACTATTAATAAAATTTATTTTTATGATATAGGAATGAAAATATTATTTTCCTGCGCAACGGTAGACGGCGCTAATGAAAAAAGTTTTGTAATTGTCTCCGTTTACTAAAAAAATTAAATGCAACGATATAGGTTTTTTTTCATGGCTTGATAGACCATTCATTATGGAAAACAAATACACAAACCGGAGGTCGATATCTTTTTTCGTTATCAAGTTATTGCTAAAATAGGGAGGTTGTGCTAGAACATCCTCCTTTATTTAGTTCTCTAAATAACATTGACATAATCCACGCCAAAATTAAATTGTAAAACTATACCAATCTTGTCCTTAAAAAGAATTACTGCTTTATTTTGAAATTTTTTTGATAACTGCAATATTTAATTTTTTTTATTAATTCCAAATACCTGAGTAGTTATAAAGATTATTGTTTCCATAACGAAGGAGGCTATGTCCTATGAAACTAGACAAATAAAAAATTATGTCAAACGATATATGACAGCTCTACTTAGCTTCATATGAAGAAAAATTGAAGTAGAACATTATACTAGATGTAAAAGATAACTATTGCTATTTCCGGAATGAAGCATTTACTTCTCACACAAAGTTAATGATTCAATATTCTGGAGACCTGCTCTTGAGCAAATTCTTTTCACATGCAAATAACTAAGTGATAAAAGGGTCTGTTAATTGTTGAAAATTATGACGAGTTTTATGCAAATACCTGCAAGAAAATAAAAAAAGAGACAATTCCAGAACAGCGAAAATGTGGAATGGTTGGCATATTCTTTTTCAGGATATAACATGGAAAGCAGAGATGGAGTCTTGAGGGTAACTCTATTTTCCTCTGTAAGTTTTACAAACGCTAAATATTATTCAATTTTGAAAGCGCGCGTTCTGACGACGTAATTTTTTTTCGAGTATTTACTGCACTGTAACTGTTTGGATAATAAGCCGAAGTACACTTATAGGTGTCGGACTTACATTGTTCGATGTGGGTATGCAAAAAATACATATTATCCGATTAAATACGCGATCCCTAAATGGGACAATTCCAGTCTGATTGCCACGTTATTGGCTCTTAATGTTTGCAACAAACACTATCACTATCTTCTTCAGAAGACTGTACTTGCTTATGCATTGGTCCAAGACGTCTTAGTGCATAGTTTGCAGTAACTGGCCTATTGTATTTCAGTTATGACTTACGAATGAGTCGTTTCCAAATTACAGGTCTCGTCTTGATTGAAATCATCTGGATTTTGCTGGATTTGTATTGCTCTTTGTCCTGTTTCCCAAAATGTTTTCTCTCTTAGAATTCTGTATTGTTTAAGTTCATTAAGTGCTCTATATCTACTTTGTGCTCCACAACTGCTGATTTATGTACATTTAAGTGACACTGAATAAAGAGAAATCAGATGTTGCGGAGCACAAAGTACATACAGAACAAGAAATAGAACTAATTTCAGAATTCTGGTGAGAGGGAAGATTTTGGCAACGACTACAAAGAAGCAATAGAAATTTAGAAGTATCTAAATAATTTCCACCAAGACGAAGACTTAGGAAAACAACCTGGAATTTGGAATCGACTCGTCCATAACAATCAAAGTTACTATTACTTCACACCGTGCACCAGAATGCTATGGACAAGTGGACATAGCAAATATAAATACCAGCCAGAGGACTTAACCTCCAATTTCAAAGTTTCTTAGAAGAAACAGAAAAAGAGAGCGGTACATTTCTCGAAACGTTCTAAATCGACGACGCGACATGACAACCAGCCCGAAAAGTATTGCGGAAGGTTGCAAACCAATCTATGTAAATGGAAGAGTTTTATTGAAGTCTGACCAATATTAAGATGAACTCTTGCGTGTCATAAGCCGATTGATTAGATCATTTGCTTCCTGGAAATTAGGAAGAAGCTCCGAAGTAAAAGCATTTTATTATTCACACGAATTGAAGGTTTTGCTTTTACCCCGACCTCTTCCTAAGAGTAAATGCTTTTACTAACTAGCACCTATCAAGCAAATGCTCCCTTTTAATTTATACTAGTAAATAATATCTTTACGCAACACTGAACACTTCGCCTACGGCCACGAACCTGTTCGAGAAGACGCAGCTTCCTGCGGTGCGTGTGTTCCTCGAGGCGGTCTACGTACTCCCGAAGCTCTTCGATCTCCTCCTTCACCTGCTGCACCGTGTCCAGCTCGTGCTTGATCGCCACCATATCCCGCTTCACCTCCGACACCTCCGATTGACAAGACTCCACCGACTTCGTGAGCTCTTGGAGTTGAGTTCTGATTTCACACAAAGCGACCGTGGTTTCTAGATGCCGGTCGCCGCGCTGCAGCTCGTCAAGTTTGGCGCTGAGGTTCATGCTCATAACACTCACCTGTTTCTGCAGACTACGTTTCCGCGGGTGAAAAAAGGAAAATTTGCATTAGTTGTTATTCGTCAACCAGAGTTAAAGTACAGGCGTGCAATTTTGGTACATTTGGTGACAGTTCACAACATCCATCATGCAGGTGGTTTACAGAACTTGACCGGCGGTTACGTTTAAGAAAAGATCGAGCGGAATACATTTGTATAGGATCTTCGTTTGTATTTCGACACCTAGCTAGGGTATATTACAAGAATTAGAAAATAAATAAAAACTGTTGGTCTCATACTACCTCTACAGCTCATTAAAATGAACAAATTTATGTTAAAAAGCATATAAACAGAAGCAATTACCATTTTTATTTTAAATAGCCACTCTATACAGGGTGTCCCACCAGGAACTGTGTTGATCGAGATCTAGGAAAGCACAGCTCCGAAAAATTTGAAATTTTGGCAACATGGCAACGTCTCTAGAGCGAGCACAACTAAAATATCTAGAACTCTCCAGTACTTCCGGTTATACCGGAAGGCGACACCAACTTCGTTATTTTAAATGGGACACCCTATATATTATTGCATTTTCGTATTCTACGTGAAATTTTAGGGTCACTTTATTAAATATTCCCTATACCTAGGAGTTATAGATTTTGAGATATTAATTTTTAAAAACAAAATTTGACAGATGCAAGGTTCCGCGGAGATGCTGGTAACTCTTTTCAGGAGCGTGATGTCAAGTGGATTTTTGGTACCTGTAAAGGGCATAGTAATACTACATTGTGGTATTCCAACAAATTAAATCATTGGTGTTTTATTTTTGCTGTTACTTCAAATAGCTATAACTTTATTAACTTAAATGGAACACCCTATGTTTTTTACTCTATCGTATGCAGATTGAAATTTCCTTTCTGGTCATATAAGCATTGTGAGGGGTGCCGTTACTATTTTTAGAGATATTTGCAATTTTCTATTTTTTGAACACTTTTTCTCGTATCAGACCTGTTGTCAAATTGGCCATGATCAGAAACACTCCAAAACAATTAAAATTTGACATTTGTCATGTTAGTTGTCAAATTATTGTTCTGTCTAATAGTTTTTGCTGAAAATTTAAATAAAAATGTCTTTAAATTATACTTATGAGAATTATTTTAATTTGTTTGTTATTTATGAAAAGAGCAGCAGATTCTCTCCATGTTCTTGAAATTGCTTTATCACATTTTCCATAAATAGCAAACAAATTAAAATAATCCTCATTAGTATAATAATTTAAACGATGCCTAGGCATTTTTATTTAAATTTTCGGCAAGACACAACAATAATTTGACTTGACTTGACAATTAATGTCATGTTATTTCAATTGTTTCTGGAGTGTTTCTGATCATGGCCAATTTGACAACAGGTCTGATACGAGAAAAATTGCCCAAAAAATACAAATTTGCAAATATCTCTAAAAGCACTAACGGCAAGCCTAACAATGATTACCTATATGGCTTGAAAGAAAATTTCAATCTGCATACGACAGAGTAAAAAAATATAGAGTGTTCCATTTAAGATAACAAAGTTATAGCTGTTTGAAGTTATCAAGTTACCAAAATGTGACAGCAAAAATGAAACACCTAGTATCAAATGATTTAATTTGTTGGTATACCATAATGTAGTGTTACCTATGCCCTTTACAGGTACCAAAAATCCACCTGACATCACGCTCCTGAAAAAAGTTACTAGCATCTCCGCGGACCTTTGCATCTGTCAATTTTTTTTTAATTAATATCTCAAAATCTAGATATAGGGAATATTTAATAAAGTGACCCTCAAATTTCACGTAGAATACGAAAATGCAATAATATATAGGGTGTCCCATTTAAAATAACTGAGTTGGTATCGACTTCCGGTATAACCGGAAATGCTGCAGAGTTATAGATATTTTAGTTGTGTTCGCCCCAGCTACATTGCCATGTTGTCAAATTTTCAAATTTTTCGGAGCAGTACTTTCCTAGATATCGATCAACGCAGTTCCCGGCGGGACACCCTGTATATAGGCTGTTTTTGAAAAAGGTACCATAAAAGAGGTTGATAGAATGTTAAAGAGTAAGAACATTTTTCCTATGGACTATGTGCTATCGTCTTTTGTTTTTAAGATAGAGGGCATCAAAAATTTTTAGCCGCAACTGTTGCAAAAAACAATGCAAATGCAATAAAATTTAGTACAGGTGTGATTAGCTTTTGACTATCTGCTACATTAGTTACAACTTCTCCCAGTGACATTTTATAACATACCTAACTTGTTTGAGGTTAGGTTTTTACAGTGTATATCGTATATTATAACATTTTACATAAAAACAGTGCTTTTGTTAAAATCGGTAAAAATGTTGTATTTTTGAAAAAAAAATCCAATTGATTGCATCAAAGTCAACCAGTTAATATACAAGGTGTACGGAAACGAACGAGTCATGCTTCAAGGGTCACTTCCTTGAATAATAGTAAATTGATTTAGATCAAATGACTTACATCCTTAAAAAGTTATGTCGGATCGGTTAAAATGGAAGAGAAAAATTTTTTCGAAGGCCCAGAAATTTTTAAGGCAGCAGATACTAAGGCAAGTTGATCTAAATCGGTCTATTTTCATCCAAGGATATTCTAAATACCCTCAAGATTAAAGATTGTTTGACTTTGGGACAATCAATTGCGGTAATTTAAAAAATGGTACATTTTCAGCGATTTTAAGAAGAGTACATACTTTTTTATGCAACATGAAATTTTACATTATTATGTATTATTCTGTCAAAACAGATATGTCATAAAATGTCACTGATAAAGATCTTAGCTAACAACCCCTAACGGTCAAACACTAACTTATTCAGAACCCTCAAAAACATATATGTATCAAATTTTAATGCGCTCCATTGATTTCTGAAAAATATATGACTCCAATTTGATTTTAAAAAATCATCATTGACGACATGTATCCCAAAAATAAATGTCCGTAGGCTATAGTAAAAAAAAATCGTCTTATTTTTTCATATTCCCTTAGCTCCAGAATTTATTATGCTTTTTTTAAAAAACACTAGTTTACGTATGTAGATAGACACTTTCCTTTAATCGCAGGGATGTAGGGTTTCATCTACCTCTAATAATAAAGCAAATATGCATAAAACAGAATGTATTAGAGCAAAGAGACTATTATCAGTTGCTAAACTGAGTCTTTGTTTAACACATGTATATTTATGGCACACAAGTATAGGTGTGCCACGTTTAAAAAAAATATTTTGTTTCTGTATTTTATTGGATGTTCATTTGTTTATTTTAATGAGTGCAAATAATTGTGTGGTAACTTTTTGTCCAAAATTCTTATAATAAATCTCTAGCTACCTGTCAAAGTAAAAATGAAAACTCTGTATGTTGATCATGATATAAAATGATATATACTAATATATCTGATGTTATTTCAATAAAATATATAATAGTTTTGTGGAATACCACTTTTACAAAAATATTAACTATCTTCTGAAACATACTTACTTACTTTTGTTGTAAAAATGAAACCTGTTGTTATGGCAAATTCCTCAGAGTAAAATTACCTAAAGCAGTTGTCATATGATTTATGGAGCACAAGATGTGTAATTTTCGGTTTCTGTCTATTGTTGACGATTTAAATTTAAATATTCTTGTTTGGAAAAAATAGAAAGGTGCAAAATCCTGTGTCAACGTAGGAGCTCCTTTCTTTTTTATATTTACAAAATTAACAAAAAAAACGTCTTTAGTAATAATATGGAATAACATTTTATTTCGATATTTTAATATAGAAAGTAACATTCCATCACTTTGAAACCTATTTTTCCAAACTTGTGAAAATTATGTATTATTTAATAACTATCAGTAACAGAGTAAAAATATATACAGGGCGGCCAAATGAAAACGAAACAGAGCCATTTTTAGGGACTGCGTCAAGATTGTAGAAAAACGCTCAGACCCGTCGATTTTAGATTAAATGGGGACATTTGCTGGTATTTTTGACTCCGCCACTTTCACCCCCAAGCAAAGGTAAGCATCATCCCAAAATATTTAAATGGCATTGGGGGTTGAGTAATATTTCTTTTGAAAGCTCTTACAATTCTCTTTACAACAGACTTTAAATTTTATAATTCCGCCCAATACTTATTAAGAATTTTGATTTTAAAGTTGAAACTTATGTACAAACAATTAATTAGTAACGGTAAAAATGTCAATTATTCGAGTTAAGTACGCCAATGGTATAAATTTAGTATTTCTTGCGTTACATTGGTTTTTGGCGATTTGTTATCACTTTCGTAAAAAGAACACAATTGTAAAAAACATAAATTAATGCTATACACACACAATTAACGTAAAATTAGTGGATTTCAAATTATTTTCTAGTTTATTTGGAAGCGTTGGTTGGTAGTTTATTTAAATGTGTTTTTGAAAATTAAACACTATGGTTTATTCCATTGCGGAAAGCCGTTTTCATTTCATTGTATTTTACAGATAGGCAAGTTATCAAATAATATTCTCAAGTGCTGAAATGTGAAATATTTATTTATAGTTCGATCTAATTTCTATAATATTGGCAAATAATATAAAGGCCATTTCTAAATATCCCTCTTTACTGCACCTGTTTGTCATAAAAAAATATATTTACTGTTATTCTTAGAGGTTCCTTAAGAATTATCCATTTTTTTTCTATAAGCAAGAAGATATCTTCCATCAGTCCATCTTTACATATCTCTGCACTAGATAAATTAATTAACCTGTAACTTTCCAGGAGGACTTCCTTTTTAATTCATTTAGATATTGAACTCATTATTGGCGCAATTGCCATAAGCTTAAAAAATGTTTAAGAGTAACAAAAATTTTGTTTATGAAATGCATCAACAATATGCTATCCTTATAGTAGAGCCAAGAGGAAGTTTTTTGGGGCTAGAATTTTTCAAAACGGGTTAATTTAACGAATGACATGTTGAGAACAAATTTAATCTACCTCTTTTCGTATCGATGAAAAAAATTCAAATACACAGCCTTCATAAACGATTATAAATCACGTGTCCGTCGAGCTTAAGCAACCAACATTGCACGGTTGGTACTGTCAAATAAAAATTCCTTCTTAGCGTCACCGATATTAATGATTCGTTTACAATAAACAATGACAAACCGTTACGCTTACTCTCGAGGTCGTTGATTGGTTGAATAAAATCCTCTGAAAAACTACACTAATCACCACCCGACAAAACATGATGATGTGCATTACTGTAATCTTGATCCTGTTGTTTTATACAGTTACTGTTCCAAACAAAATTACAGGTCATGTGCCGTGCAATCATTTATGAAGGTTATTTTTTTATAGGCAACGTATTGGACTCTATTTTATTAATTTGAAATTTCTGATAGCAGAGATTGTTTATTTTTCATTTTGTGAAAATTACCTATCTACTTATGAAAAGTACATTTTTTTACTTCAGATCAAATTTTGACAGCTAAATAAAATTTTCATTGACGCTAAATTATTTATTTTATTTATTTATTGCAACGTGCAAAACGAAAAGAGGGAGAAGGGTGTTCCGTTACTTTGTCCTAGTTTTGTTGACCTTAATGATAGTACCTATTATCGTTAATACGTTACAACAAAAAATATGTTTTTAAACAGTGATTAGTATTTGCAACTAGTAATTTGTTTTTAATATCTATTTGAAAGTCGTATTAAAAATTAATGAACAAAATTGGCTTTATGATAAATTTGTTTATTTAATCAATGTAGGTGGTTTTATTCTTGGAATATTTTAATGGCCAGCAAATTATATTGTAGCTTTATAATAGTTATTATAACGAGACCCAATAAGTTTTCGAAAGGTAAATATCTAATCGTATCTATCGATCTATCTAGTTCCACTTCCATGGCTGAGGTAACTAAGCCATTTGTTCAGCGACTTGCTTCTAATTCCCTTTTTTTCATTATTTATTCTAAGGAAGATAAAAACGTAGAACGCTTCACAATTTTGCGTGTCACCCTTGCGGAGAGGCCAGGCTAATTTTCTCTGTATCGTTTCAATTTTAGTATATGTAAGTGGCCTTGAAATGTACTGAAAATTTTTGAATTTTGAAAATGGATTTATTTCAAATGCATTTATTTTTATAACACTGCTATAACATTATTTCTAATAGAACAAAACTAAGCTGTATTTCCATATTTTTTAAAAGATCCCCTCGAATGGAGAAAATTCGAAACACAGTTAAAATATATCGAATCTTAATCAACCTAATCTATATTTTTTATTTATACTTTACGTCAGAATTAAATCGAGCAACTGGCGCATTCGCCATTTTATAGAGGATGTCTAAAATGCATAAACGTTGTAGATCAACTACCCTATACACACAAGGCAAAGCCCTTTCATTGTGTTTTAAGTTATACCCCTCTTAATTGGTACGCATTTTTATTTATTTGACAGTGATATTAGAATATACAGGGTGGTTCAGTTATGATGTCATTAATTTTAACCACGTATTCGGAAGGTTTAATAAAAACAGAAAACTCGAAGTTTTAAAAAATAAGCAAATTACCCTTTAACTCATGTTCGTAAATATTACATGTATTATAACGATAATAACACAGCCACACAAAAAAAGTTGCCTGTACTTTTTATGCGACACATGTGATCCGTAGTATTTTTGCCTCCTGATCACGAATCCGGTGTCAGAATTGAGCTATTACATCGCAGGAATTTCCTAACCTCAAAAAACGTCAAAAATAGCAAAAATTTTCGAAAAAGTGCTAGGAAAAGTACAAAACATTTTTTTTCTATATTTAAATGTTCATTTATATGGTTAAGACCCCGCTGAACGTGAATCCGCGGTCAGAATTGATGGTTCTTTTTCTAACCTAAAGAACGGGTCAATTAAGGTCAGATATCATGAATTTTCAAAAAATAACAGATTCGCGCCAAAAGTATACGGAGGTTTTCGGGGTCCCTGATCACGGATTCGAGATCAGAATTACAAAATTCGTTTTTAAAAATTTAATCAATTACCTATGTACTTTAAGAAGGAACTTGATTGGGTACTCAGGTTATAAAGTAAACAAAACTATTACAAACTGAATTTCGCAATTCTGACTTCGAATTCGTAACCAGCGACCCCGAAACTCCCCTAAGTATACCAAGTTTGACGCAAATGTGTTATTTTTTAAAATTTGGTAGGTCACCTTGGATCCGCCATCTTGAATTTTGCAAAATTGACCTCGAATCTGTGATCAACGACCCTGAAAACACCCGTAGGTATACCAAATTCGGCACGAATGTTATTTTTTGACAATTTGTACGGCCATCTTTGATCCACCATCTTGAATTTTGCAAAATTGACCTCGGATCCGTGACCTGGAAAACCCCCATTTACCGAATATAGAGCGAATCTGTTATTTTTTCAAAATTCGTGATAACTGACCTTAATTAACCTGTTTTTTTTTTGAGGTTAGAAAAAGAACCATCAATTTTGTGAATTTTTGCTATTTTTGACCTATACTACGGATAACATGTGTCGCATGAAAAGTACAGACAACTTTTTTTTGTGTGTGGCTGTGTTGTTATCGTTGTATGTAGTACATGTTAATATTTAGAATGCAAAAAATAGCTTATTCATAGGTAAGTGACCGATACGGTAATTCACTCTCGATAAACCTTTATGGGTCAGCGGTCCAGGAGCGATCCGATTTGAACATTTTTTTCAGCGTAAATATGCATTTTAAAATTTTCCTTATCTTCCCTTTAAAATTAATTACATTATAACTGAATCACCCTGTATAATAAAATGACATTGAGCCCCCACCTCCTGATCACATCATAAATTTTTTATACGTACGCTATCTAATTTAAATTTTTCAATATAAAAATAATTTTTAAAAACCTTTCTCCAACTGGGAAATTTTGATTTGATTCGTTTTACATTTCGAATACAAATCATCAGCTTAAATGCAGGGTATTCGAGAATTCTGTTTTTACATTTAATCGGCTATTCTGTATATAAAACTAAGAAAAAACTTCATATGAGTGTGCATTCTAAAACGTTTCTTAAGGATACTATGCGCAAATTATGTTAATGCAGATTTTTTTCTCATTTTTATGCATATAATCGTTGCATCAAATATAGGAAAGGGAACTCTCGAACATCCTATATTTTAGTGTATTCCATGCCATCTGTTTTACTTGAAATCCATAGAATATACTCACAAAAGGCAGACATTTGCAAGGAATGAATTTTGCACTTAAAATATTATACAGGGTGTCCCAGAATAAAGTGTACAACGGAAGACCACAGATTCATGGACTCAAAATAGGCAGATTTCAGCTAATTCACCTATATTCGAAATCGCTTCATTTGGCCGCTAGATAGCCTAAAAGTTCGTGAAAATTTTTTGAATGTTGTAAATAACTTGAATAGGAAATTGATTTTGATCATTTTTGGGGGGTGTGGACTTTTGCCTTCAATCTACAAATTTTGATGTTATACAGAGTGTTTTTTAAAAGTTATAACTTCTACAAAATTGATGTATGGCAATAATATCCGTTCATAACTTTTTCCTTTTGCGGGCAATATTGGCAACTATTTTTTATTTAATAGGTGATACCATTTGGAAGTTTTTGGGCCGTTTGTAGAATTTTGATTAAATGAGCGGTTTGGGTACAAAAAAACATTAAAACAAAGTGATAGTAGGCTCTGATTTTGTAGATTGACTGTAATTTCAGTTTGATCTTGTTTGGGATAGCATTATTATTAGCCCTGTTATTCTATCCAATAGACTGAATGGGGAATTTTATTTAGAATTTTTGCAAAACCCGAGTTACTGGAAGATGTGTCGTTATTATTCAAAGCTAACATGTGGTTCATACATGAAGGTGCTCCACCACATTTCACTGTAAATGTCCGGCCGATTTTGAGTCCACGAATATGTGGTCTTTCGTTGTACACGTTATTCTGGGACAAATTCTATATTTTAGGGCCATTAGAACTGAGTCGTACGTATTTATTAAAAAGCAACAAACTAAATCGTCTACAATACACCACCATAAACAATAACGGATGGGCATTAATTACGCAACATCCGCACGATAACAAAGGCAACAGTATACTAACGTGACGTGAACGTGAAAAGCCTTTGACAGCCATCATTATTATTATTATTATTATTATTATTATTATTATTTTGGCATTAATTAATATAATTATAGGCGTACGTATATAAAAAATATGGTGATCAAGCAGGAGGGATTTCCCAAAAAATGTCTGGCCTAAATCGTTACATAAAAACACATCCATCGCTGCGTTACATAAACATTACATTAAAAGAATATGGTTTTGCGGTACTGAGAAGACTATATCTCAGTAGACGTTGACTTTTGTAAGAGTACACAGGTAAATTGGTCTAAATTGACTTATAATGAATAATGATTCAATGAATCGTATCGTGATCGTAGGTTGTGCATATATTCTAAAGACACCCTGTATAAATATGGTTTTTCTTTAAGTTCTACCCCATTTACTAAAGAGTCTCCCAAAACTCACACAAGAAGTAATTTTGATAGAAAACACAGGTTTTAATTAAAAATTGTAAATTTTTTATTGATTCATAAAGCATAGTATAGAGTTATGTATGGAAACGGCTTTGCTGGCATATACGCATTCTTTTCTGGAAAGTTGATACAACGTTCAATTTTCTCCTTCAAGGCGTGGGTGGTCATGAGCTTGTTGGCAGAAACTTTAGGTTTAAAAAAAAACTAAAGAAGAAGGTCCAACGGCGTTAAATCGGATAATCTGGACAGCCAATACTTTCACCAAAGCGGGAAATTACACGAACAGGAAATGACTCATGCAGCAATTGAATTGGTTTTTGGGCTGTATGACATGTGGCACCGTTTTGCTGAAATCACATGTCGTCTGAATATACGCAATCACTGGTGGATTTTCTGGTACCTCAAATGCGAATTAATGAAACCTTCAAGATCAAAATGAGCCTCATCGCTGAAGATTATTCTGTTTGAGAAATCAGCATCTACTTGTTCCATTATCCATTCAACGAACTCTCTTCGCTCTACGTGATCAGTAGGCATCAGTTCTCGAGTCAATTGAACTTGGTAAGCATGAAGATGCAAATCTTTCGTGAGAATACGCTGTAAAGAGCTTCGCGAAAAGTCCAATTCTTGACCATGGTACCGAAATGATGTTCCTGGACTCTCAGCCTCAGCAACACTCTCACGAACTGATGTTTTGTATGGAACGACTTGTTGAATGACGGCCAGAGTGTTTAACATCATTAATTGATCCAGTCTCCCTGAATTTTTCTATTAATCTCTTCAAGTCGATGAAGTTAAGTCACTATTCCGACCATATTTTGTACGAAAACTGTAGCTGCCAAGCCTCCATTATTTTTAAACAATGAAAACGCGTTGTTCTTTCGTGTAGCGCTCCATTTTTTTATCTTTTTGTTTTCGTTGGCAATACTATACCGCACAAATGGCGCAAAATTCAAATCTTGCGTGAATTTTGGGACATCCAATACATAAATACCATTTTATACAATTTACTAGAATTATTTTAACTATCGGCATTCTTAGGTATTAAACAATTTCATACATATATTTGCATGCACTTTTCTAGAATTTCTTCCAACATACAAATTTTATTTCTTATTAGAGAAAAGTATCTATTTAACTTTAATTAGAATTTTAATAACTGGCTAAGTAGTAACACTTAGATAAGATAAAGAGTAAAAATATTTAGTATTTGCTTTATTGATTGTTTAAGATTGTGCATAATTTAATTACAAAAAAATTATCTAAATGAGATGCTTTTAAATTCATATACCAATTTATTACCTATATATTTTCACTTCATATTTATATTAATTAAACAAATTCCGAAATAATTATTATATTATAAAATATGATTATAAGTTATTTTTTATATATTTCAATTCATTTTTTAATTTCAAAATTTGAATTTAAAATGTAATAATATTCTAATAATTACTTTTCAATGGCACTTAGAATTCCAAATAGTTTTCATCAGTAGTTGCCTTTCTTATTTAAAAC